AAACTCGACTCCCCTACATCCCGTGTCTGAGACACTCATCCCTATGGACATTTTTACATTCTCACATCCCTTGCCACAATATTTTGAGAGAGGATAAAACTCAGCTGTAGTCTCATGAGAAAGGTTGCCAAAGGGATACAACTATTTCCATAACACACTTGACCACTGAACAAACCATTCATTTTAGAAAAATGTGCAAAGCAATTTAGAGCAACTAGTCATTCTGGACGTTATGTAAACTGCTCAAGGACAGGGACTCTGTTTGATTTGCTCCCACTCAGTACTTGAAATAGAGCTTGGTTGTGAGCAGGTGCTCAGCAAACACTCATTGAATGAATGAATGAATGAATGACCAAATGACAGTAACAGGTAGATGTGAGCCAGCAAAGGGTTTTCCTAGGCTAACTCATCCTCTGCACAAGGTTGGAGTGGAACATGGGAACATTTACAGTGCCTGGACACACTTCCCAGGCATTTCAGAGTGGTTTTTAGAAAGAAGCAAAAACCAAACAGAGAATTATTTATCTAAAATTTCAAGCCAAGAAACCCCAATCAAAACAGGTTGTATTAAGTTTTCTCCATCCTAAACAACCTCCAAAAATCATTGAAAAACCATGTGAAGGAAAATCTGTGAAAAAATGATACATTCAATGAATGGTACTATATGACAAGGGCATAGATTTTTGGCCAGATGCTTTCGAGCTCTGACTCCTACATTATGTATTAGCTATAAAACCTTGGGAAAGCACCTTACCTTGTTTAGATGTCAGCTCCTCACTAGTAAAATGGGATATTAACTTCATTTTTACTTCATTGAGTTGTAAGAATTAAGAAAGATTAACAGTGGCAGGTACGATGCCTGGCATTTAGCAGATTCAATAGATGTAAATTCCCTCCCTTATTTCCTTCCCTTCCTTTTCCTGATCTTTCCTGCCCTGACATCAGTTTATTCTAAAACCACAGAGGTAGGGGAGATCATGTAATCGTCTTTTATATGTTCATATTCCTCATTTTCAAAGACTTTTAAAAACACACAAGGAGGTCTACGTTTTCTATGCATTATTTTTTTTCTGAGTATCAGATCTAAAACACTAAATCCTATTATATAATAGAAAAACAGGAAATCTGGGAGCTAGAACATAAAAATTATCATAATTAGACAGGCAATAGGATTTTTTTAAAAAGTCCTTGGCTTTTTATTTTTCTGTCTTGGCTTTGTTATCTCTAAAGGTGGTTAAAGAGATATAATCCAAGAGGAGGTGGCCCTTGCCCCTGAAGTTACTGCTGTTTTAAGGGCTTTAACAGGAACATCTGCTGGGTTTTTGACAAAGGAAGCCAGAGGGGTTCAAGGGAGGGTGGAGGAGACTGTGGCTTACAAAGGCGCCACATCTGTTTGGTATTCTCCCCTCTCAGAAAGTTCGACTTCTGAAATCGCATGGGTCTCCTAGTTAAACTTGAATCTAGGAACAGATGAAAGCTTTTCTTTCCTCAGTGTTTCAATGGTAGAGATCAACAGCTGTTTATATCCTTTAATACCTGACTAAGGGTGAAGCTTTCACATCTGCCAGTATTTTCCAGTTCTATTTCTTTGGATAATGATGGGGAGGAGGTGAAGTGAGAACCCCTCCCAATTCCCAGGCAGAAAGACAGAATTATGCCCAGGATTCAAAGCTGTAATTCTAAGCAGAACTACTCCCCATTTCTCATCCACCCAGGGTCTACTATTTGCTTAGAATTCTTCTTGTACTTTATCCTGACAGACATCTTGATCATTTCCCTGATAATGACTCAAGACAGACCAAAGATCAAAAAGAAGAAAAGTAGGCTGGAATCAGGGGGAGGAAGAAGAGGAGGAAATGGAGTGTAACAGGGAAAGTGGCTCCTAAAAATAGGTTCTTCCAAAAGACAGCAACGCTAACATCCAAGGGCAAATCACAGAGGTGAGCAGGATGCTGATGACGGTCCTCACACTGAGGGTGGATGGTGGTGGTTTTTACTGACCTCCAACATTTCACCGTGGAAAACTTAGAGAAAACAAAACCCTGTGGAAGCAAGGTGCAGGAAATACCCAGGAATGGTGACAAAGGGATTCGGAGACATTTGTTTAACTTTGTTTTGATCACCAGCTGCATGTACTTGTTCGAACAGAGGACATGGTATCTGAGCTGGACCTGGACCTTAAAGGACGCATGAGAATTCACTAGACAGAGAAGTGGGTGATTACAGGAGAGAGCATGGATAAAATCAGAGAGGTAAAAAACCAGACAATTTCTGAGGGAATGAAAAGCATTCCAGGCGGTTACAACAAACAGAGTAGTGGTGGGTACTTATTAAAAGTGAAGGTTCAAATATTCGTAATAAATAAATAAATAAATAAAGTGAAGGTTCATAAGGAACTCAAATAACTTAATAGAAAGAAAACAAGTAATCTGATTAAAAACTGGGCAAAGGATCTGAATAGACATTTCTCAAAAGAAGACATACAGGCCAACAGGTATGTGAATGGATAAAGAAAATGTAATATAAATGCACAATGGAATACTATTTGGCCTTAAAAAAGAAGGAAATCCATGAATTTGCAACAATGTGGATAAACACTGAGGACATTGTGTTAAGTGAAATAAACCAGGTACAGAAACACAAATATCGCATGATCTTACTTCTGTGTGGAATCTAAAATAGTTGAACTCATAGAAGTTGAAAGTAGAATGGTGATTACTAGGGAACTGGGAGGGGGGTGGGGAGGGGTTGGAGAGATGTTGGTCAAAGAATGCAAAATTTCAGTTAGACAAGAGAATAAATTCAAGTGATCAATTATACAACATGGTGACTACAAGTAAAAAAGAAAAAAAGTGCAAGTTCTTAGATCTCACCTATGAGATTCTGATTTAGTTGTTAAGGGAAAGGATTAAGCAATTTGCATTTTGAACAGAAGACCCAAGTAATTCTGATGCAAAGAAAAGTTTGACAACTCTAATTTATATATCTTAACATTTCCAAAAAGATGCTAATGGTGTTCCATTAAAAAAAGAAAAAACTGATATGTATCAGAGTCCAATTAGGAAATACCATACCTACATTAATATTTTCTTGGAAATTCATGATGTACATTGGTATATTAAAAGTCCTGTGGTAAAGTAATCAATTTTACTCAGCACTTCCCAAACTTATTTTTCCATGGGAGGAAAAAACTCATGGTACACCCATTAAGATCTCTTAGAATACTAGTGTGCTATGGTGCATAGATTGCGTAGAGCTGAAATAGAAGATTCTGATCAGGTGAGTTTGTTCCCCAAGCATGTTGAATGACTAAGGAAATGTCTAGAAAAAGAAAGCAAAGCATGTCGAAACATCCACTGATTTCCTCCAAGCAAAATCCAAAACACCTGTGTTGTCCTGTTTTCTAAGCAGACTGCCAGAAGCTTCCTCACTGTCAGGTAACACATGTGACTCTGTGTCAGCAACTCTATGTGGCAACCACAGCTGCCGGAGAGAGCAGGAGTGCCCAGAGTTCAGAGCTTCCAGTAGCAGACACAGGGGAAGGACAATAAGGAGGTATCCTTGCCTGCATTTATTCATCTTCACTGCTATCTTATGTTCTGCACAGAGCATCGGTAGTTGCTTATAACGCTTCTGGGAAACAAAAAATTCCTCCCAGCTCCAAAAGTAGCCTCTGACAGTCAATGAAAGTGCAAAAATACATGAACCCAAGAAATTCCCACCCCTCCGAGGTGCATAATATATGCTCAGGGGAGTTTCTGAAACCTCCTTCTTCCTCCTATGCTGTGAACTGAGGGGCTGGTTTGCACTACCACACATCCCACCTCCTTCCTGTTAATGAGGGACAGGAGAGAGAAAGAACATAAAGGAACTGGACAAGCCAAGGCAACACCAGGATTCTGACAAATTGGTTTGTGTGTGGAATATTTCAAGATGTACATACTGCACCAATCAATTTATATACTTTTTTTTTCTGGTATAAACTTAATTACTTCCATACGCCCCTTCTCAACTTTCCATACGCTACATGTGGACAACCCCCCTTCCCATTGAGAGATGATTTCAACAGTGTGTTTCCAATACTTTTTTGTACTCCAACCATCTCAGAGCTTTTCAATAATACTTTCCAATCGCACAAGTATTTATTCAATCATTCCACAAATATTCCCTGCGTGCCTACAAAGGTTCCACAGCACTGTGCTAAGCACTGGAGATACAACTGAGAAAGCAGCAGATTGCTCATTCCTACTGAGCCTGGGGCATAAAATACCAAATTCTAAATTTGGCCCATTAGTGCATGGGAAATCCAATGACCAGCAGCATAAAGAGATGTAAGAGGTAGAAAACGTTTGGTCCTTCCCCTTGAACAATTTTATGGCCTATTGCACAAAGCAAACAAAAGCATTTGCATTTCAAGTGTTGCAGTGGGTCCAGCAACTATGCAACAGTCAAAGTTAACATGACAGCCCAGAATTAATAACCTATAATTAGGAGAGAGAAGAGAATGCCAGGATATTTGTTTCCCCAGAATTTGAACCCTGTTTATTTGTTCCTCAAACAAATCCATGGATTCTCACACTGGGATTTCTTAATCCTGAGGGAAGAATACCAGTAATTGCACCAGAGTCATATAACTTTAATTAGTCAGTCAAAAAATACAAATCTTACCAGGACAACTGGGTGGATTTAAAGTCTAATCCTAAGGAAGCCAACCAGAACAAATCTAAGATTTCACCACGTCAGTGTTCCCCAGCATGTGGTATGTGTCCCACTGGGGTCTGCAAAATAACTGTAAGTGGTCCATAAATTTTTTTTTTTTTTTTTCATTTCAAAGAGTCTCTTAGATCTGAAAAAGGACTGCAGGTATATGAGTAATGCAAGTTAGGGAAACACTGACATGGGTGCTATCCAGCATTCAAAGGCAGTTCTGGAAGAACCCTTTGCAAACTTTCTGGGTGGGGGATGTGACAAAAAAACTGAGAAGCTGGCCACAGACTTACCCACACATGTTGGAAATATGTCCTCGTTGTTGATCTGAACCTCGATCCAATCCATAAGCAGGTTCATGTACTGGGGAGCCGGCAGTGCAGTAGGCTTCTTATACTTGAGGTCATCCTGCCACCGATACTCATATTTGGGGCCCCCTGACATCACAGGACAGGTCCGCTCGGTGCAGAACTCACAGATGGTGCCGTAGATGAGGTTGATCCGATTGAAGAAGTCCACCACGTGCACGGCCACCCAGTCATTCTGGTCCTCCCCACTGGGCAGTTGCACAGCCGCCTTCAGGTCCACGCCCGAGTTGAGGGATGCCTGGGCCCGTTTGTGCAGCTCAAACCTCTGTGTGCCAGGTTCAAATTTCCTCTTGGGCCGGAAGGTCTTGTCCTTGTTGAACACCTGCTTCAGAGCTATGGACATGGTCTTTTCCTTCTCTTCCTTTCTTTTGCAGGAAGCAAAAAGGCACCTGGAACTTTTCAGTGAAAGATTAAAGCCCAATAGGGTTTTCCACTGCCAGCCCTCAGGCCCCAGTCTTGTAGCCTGCAGATTTTAATATCTTTTAAATGGCCCCTTCCATCTTCCTCTTGAAGGATTTCCAAGGGAACCTCATGTTCCTTCCTAAAGGAGGAAGAGAAAAGGGAACTCGTGAGTACCCAGTTTGCACAGAAGAAATGACAAAGAGCTGATTTCCACATTGTGTTCCTGGCTGTGCCCATATCCACCCAGATTTATGGACATGGAGGTTAAGCCACTGCCCTGTGAATCTGTACTGGTGATGCAGCCACGTAAGTAACTAAAGGAGAGAAGGCATCACACTGTTCTTCTTTATGACCTTTGTCAAACCTCTGCTGACTTCTCTGTGTGATCATAGGCTCAATGGACCTCTCCAAGGTGCTAAGGATGAGTGTGTCAGTCAATGATCCAATCCTGTGTTCCTTTTTAGAACCCCACCCCAGCTGTCCCTATTGCATAAACAAGGGGCCCCTACCCCCATCCTCCCAGAAACAGCAGGTAGGAGCAGGGGGACTATCACACCTGGCTGGCTAATAAGAATGTCTCTCCTGGGAATTTGGAATCAGGACCCAGCCTTTGTTGAACATTATCCATGAGAGGCGATGAAAACAGGATCTAGTTAAGCCCTGTTTGGACCATATGTAGTGCAGTTGAGAAAGCTGGTGTGCAGAGCTGAGTGGAGGAGAAAAGAAGGGAGAGAAGGAAGAGCAGGTGGAGGAGGGGAAGAAGGCTGCTGACATACAGAAAAACAGAGACAAGTGTCCAAGTGGCCAGAGAGAGGAAGACAAGAGAAAAAGAGACAGTGAAAAGGGAGAAGTGGCTTCTTTATTCCTAATAATCTTTTAGGAATCAGTTCCAATTTCTCTTGAAACCTAGCTATGTTCCTGCCATTGGGATCAATTCATTTTTCCTGATTTGTCAAATAAATCCCTTATTTTATTTCAGCTAACTTGAGTGAGTTGTTTCTTTCCAAGCATCCCTAACTATGGCAGCATTTGTTACCCCTACAACGTGTCACCCTTTATATACTGAAGATCATACCCAAAAGCACCTTGAGGCACAGCTATCCAATAGAACTTCCTGTGATAATGCAAATTTTCTATATCTTTGTTTTCCGATACGGTAGCCACTAGCCACATGAGGCTATTGAGCAATTGACATGTGGCTAGTGTGACTGAAGAGCTAAATTTTATATTTTATTGTATTAGTTTATATTTAAATAGCCACATGCAGTTAGTGGCTACCATACTGGAAAGCACAGCCTTGAAGTCTTCAGTGCTGTCTTCTCCATTGTCACATGTGACCTTCATGAAAATCTAGTAAGATATATAGACTTACAGCAGGGATAGTGGCTTTATAGCAGGTACCATTCTCCAAGGGATAAGTTTACTTGTCTAACAAGGTCCCATAGCTGGCAGGGGGCACAGATGGAACTGAAATCCAGTTTGTTGACTCCTAACAAATGCTTTTTCCATGTAGCCTTATATTTTAAAAAGTGATGTCCTTCAACCTGTCTAGTTCCTGAAGCTTCCTTTATACAGAGCTTCTATCCCCATATTCCTCCAAGACGGCTTGTACGTATTGGGTAGAGGTGAAGGCTGTGTCCTGTTGCCTTCAAACAGAGAGGAGATAACCAATTCACCCACAAATCAAGCCCTAACAAAATGAGCCAACAGCTGTGGCCAGATTTAGAAGAGACTATCATGGAATCTGTTTAAATGGATTTGGAGCACGATCCCACAGAACTGCTTTTTTCTTGCCTGAAAGGGGTTCTACCATTCCACACTCAAACATGGGGATGCACTCAACCTTAAGTTGTTAAGGCAAAAATATATATGTGACACATCGCACTTCCTTCCCAATGACTGCTCTTTGCTCAGAACTGCTAATCAAGCAGCTGAACACTTCCTCCAGCCTCTGCCTGATCATTTCCTCCCTCTTAACCCCACCCTCTTTCTAATAGGTTTTCACCGAAATGCCACATCAATGAAGTGGGCTTTTTCCCCCTCATCACATGGCATTGACCATGCACACCCCTCCAGAAAGATCCATGAGGAAAAGCCAGTCATGTGACACTGTCTGCTTGATACTGAAATCACACTCCTGGGTAGTTCAGAACATCACCTGCGAGAAGGAGGTAGGGCAAGATGGAAGACTAGAGGTCCCTGGGTATGTCCCTCTCACAGAAGATGACCAGAAGAACTAACAGAAGGCTAAATATTGAGGGGGGGCATCTGTAGGAGAGTGCAGGAGGATAGCAGGAAACTGGTTTAGAGCCCCATGGAGCACAAAAGCCCAGGATGGCACCATAGAGAGGAGGGAGAGGCAGCCTCAGCTGCCAAATCTCTGCCACCAGGATTGGTGCAGGAAAGATGTTCCTTTGCAGGGAAAAGGTAGGAAGAAGGCCCACACCAACCCCGATTCTCACTAGAGGGGCCTACAGTTCCTACTGCAGAGGATTCCACAGCCCTTGCAGGCCTGGAGCCAACTGTGGGGAGCTGCCTAGAATACACACACTGCAATGCACCAGATCAGGAGCAGTAGACCCAAGCCAACGCAGTACAGGAGCTGCTGTGGAGAGCATGCCCTGCCCCTGGACCAGTAACCACTGTGCTTCCCCAGCCTTAAGGCTCTGCTGTCATCCCAACACACTCACATTAGAGGATACAATGCCCTGATCCCAAACACTTGAAGCCTGGACCCAGGAGCAGCTCTGACCCCAATACCACACATCTGGGAAGCCAATCCTGGGCCTGCTGAACTGATGCACCCCCACATCCTGAGCCAGAGATCACAAAGACAGACCCTCCAACCCCTCACCAGTGGGCTGAATTCTGTGCTCTCAACCCAGAAAAATGACCCATGAGTCCCTACTCTAACAGATACACCTCCAGGCTGATAGAATTAAAGTGCATTTGTGCCATCCTGGAGAAGCAACTAGGCAGTCTTACCTTCAACAGTCCTACCTAATGGCCTCATCTACCACCCAAGAACTGGCTGGCTGAGCCCTCTCTCTGTGGTTCCACCTGGCAGCCTCACCCACTGCCCAAGAGGCAACTGGCTAGGCCCCCTCCCAACAGGCCTGCTGTGTCGTCTTGCCCACTGCCCAAAAAGTGGTTGGCAGGACCTGCTCTATGCAGCCCTATCTAGTGGCCTCACCCACTGCCTGAGAAATGGCTCATCAGGCCACCTCTCTGCAGCCCCATCCAGGAGTCTTGGCAGGCCTGTGTCGCAGCCTCACTCACTGCCCAAAAAGCAGCTGGTATGGCTACCTATCTGCAGGCCTGCCTAACGGCTCTGATTACCACCCAAGAAGCAGATCAGCACCCTACCCTTAGCTGACCTGCTCCTGAGCCACCCAGGTAAGTGTAACCTCATACCTGGCTCTAGGAAATGGTGCAGTGGACTGGCTCCTGGCAGACTTACACTCAGCTAGCTGAGCCAAAGTGTGCCAGCACCCCTGACGTAGCGCAATAGCCCACCGTCACACCCCTGGTGGATCTACACCCAAGTCTTAAAGCCATTGCACGCCCACTCATTTGAATGAGAAACAGCCTGGTTGACATGCCTCTGTTGGACCTGCACCAAATTAGATAATCAGCATGGTGACCCTCCCACTCTCAAACCAGCCCTGAAATCCCTGACACCACACACCCACACAACAAGCCTGAAAATCAATCCAGCAACCCCATCCTCAGTGAGCCAGCTCCAGAGATGACTGACCCATGGTTGAGTACATGCACACTCCAAGTCTTCGAACCAACACAGTGAACCCATCTCCAGCAAAGTTGTGCCACCACTGCCACAAACCTCTCAATCACAGGCACACACACAAATAGCAAAAGTGAATTACAGCTGAAAAAACTACACTACTGCACCCATCCAGAACAAAGCCATTATACTCAACCCAACTGGCACCCAAAGATGCATATGCAGGTGAAAGTCCTTTCCCATGCAATCCACCCTATAAAACTCAGAGGTGACTGTTCCAACAGATGCACAGATACCAATGCACGGAAACAAGAAACACGAAAAACAAGGAAACGTGACACCAACAGAGAAACACGATAATCCTGTAGTAATTGATCCCAAAGAATCAGAAGTTGCCAACTTGCTGGAAAAGGAACTGAAATTAATAATCTTAGGGGAAACTCACTGAGATACAAAAGAATACAGACAAACAATTCAACAAAATCAGAAAAAACAATTCATGATCTGAATGAAAAATTTAACAAAGAGATATAGATATGATTTAAAAAATCAGAAATCCTGAAACTGAAGAATTGATTGAATGAAATGAAAACTACATCAAAGATTCTCAACAACAGACTAGATCACAAAGAAGAAAGAATTTCTAATCTTAAAGATAGCTGTTTTGAAATATCCCAGGAAGACAAAAAAATTTAAAACATAAAATAAAAAACAGCAAAGCTTACAAGATTTATGGGATTCTATTAAGCAAACAAATATTTGAATTATGGGCATTCCAGCAAGAGAAGAAAACAAACAAAAAAAAGGAATTGAATACATATTTAATGAAATAATAGCTAAAAACTTCCCTAGCCTGGGAAAAGATATGAACATCCAAATTCAGGAAGCTCAATGGCCCCAAATAGATTAAACCTCAAAAGGTCCTATCCAAGACACATTGTAGTAAAACTGTCAAAAGTTAAGGCAAAGAGAGAATTCTAAAAACAGCAAAAGCATTAAGTCACTTATAAGGGAATTTCCATTAGACAGCAGACTTCCCAACAGAAACATTACAGGCCAGGAGAGAATTGGATGATATATTCAAAGGACTGAAGGAAAAGAACTGCCAGCCAAGAATACTATACCCAGCAAAGCTATCCTTCAGAAATAAAGGAGAAATAAAGTCTTTCTCAGACAAGCAAAAATTAGGGTAATTCACCACCACCAGTTCAGCTTTAAAAGAAATGCTTAGGGGAGGCCTACACCTAAAAGAAAAAGGATAACAACCATCATGAAAACACCCCAAAACATAAAACTAACTGGTAGAATAGAAACACAAAATAGAAAGAGAAAGGAATCAAAACTTATTAACAAAGAAAACTACCAAACCAAAAGGATGAATGATAAAAAAGAGAA